TTTTGAAAACCGTTGCATACTTATTTGCAGGCTTATTTGCAGGTTTATTTCCAGTCAGCACGATCGATAGAGACTGTGACCAATAAGGAAAAAGGAAGTGATTTGTTTTTATTCCCCTTCCTTACTTTGGTGGGCAAAGAAAACATACATGAGTCAAGGTCGCTGGTCAACCCTTTAACTGCCAGATCAAATTTGTAATTCTCCTTACTGTCAACCATATAACTCTTACAATGTTAGATCAGGGAATTTAGTATTGGATCAACTAATTATTCCCATATTGATATTTTCTTTATTCTCATCACTTATCTGGTTGATATTGTATTGATACTGTAAGGAGAAATTCTGTCTTGGTCACTCATGGGAGTTAAAGGGTTAAAGGAAACTCGTCGGCGCAAAGTTTTCCCGAGCCTCTGTGCAAAATTATTTAAGAAGTTTCCTTTTTAGTTAATTTGGTTTTATCAACTGAGTTGATAATGTAAAGAGTTTCCCAAGATGACGTTTCGAGTGTTAGTCCTTCGTCAGAGCGAATGGGTCATACACACCAACGAACATTTCTTCAGTTCCTGACATTTTTCTTTGTCGTATTTCAACACGGAAACTCGTTTGTTATCTTTTGGAAAGGGATTCTTTTAGGACTATTTTCCCATCAACAATGCAAAGGAAATCTTGCGAAGACAATACTTGCAATCACTGACTCCTGTTCTTTTACAGGTTCAAACTATTCTGAAACGCTTGAAAATACCTTACAGAGACGATGCGGAATTTGACGAAGCTACGCTTTACGAAGCAGCAAGTACTAATTCCACCTTGTCTTGTAATAACGAGAAAACAGGGCTGTTTAACGTTCTGGATACAAGGAAAACTAACCTTGACAAATTGCCTGATGATGCGTTTAATATGCGGCTTTCGTGATCTTCATAAGTCTTTCGCGTAATCCTGGTGGGTCCTCGTGGCGGAGTAGATCCATCGTCCCTCCTCAGTTAAAGTGAAGCAGTAGGGTTAACGACATGCAGGATTTAAAGGGATTGTCATCGATTGTAGTTGGCAAAAAGTGAAACGATAGTGTGGCTTGTTTTCAGGCTCTTGGTTAGCCTTGTACCAAGGCTCAACTTCTTTGCCACTCGTTCGTTCAAACAGCGTATCAAAATTGACGTCACCACACGCAGCTCTCAACTAGTGACCAGGCTTTCACAAAGACTTCTTGCAGGACTATATTGCTTAATCAAAACAATTCCAATCAATCTTTCGTTTACATCAACAAATATGTCCGCTAGAATGCTCTACGCCGATGAAGCGTTTGCAGACTAGAGAAGTTATCAGCTTAGCACGACAGAAGCGACGTGGGAGCCGCTTTTATCGCGAGTACTTAAGGACAACCACCTCAAGCATTATGTTACTAGTTGTACACAAATCTTCAATTTCACCCAACCCCTCCCCCTTGCGATTGTTTTCGTTTTATCCCCTGATCGTGTTCGCTTTTATCCCTCGAGCCCTGGACGATGATCAGATCTGTGATCATCTGTGAACAGACTAGGATGGTTTATCTCGATGGATGTGCCTCTTCCAGTTGTTGACGGTATTAACAAAAACCAATAATTGGCAGTTTGTACCCGATGTGAATTAGATCTGGAATGGAAGAACAGAATAACATATTTTTTATAGCTTTGTGGTTTGTGTCTCTTAGTCAGTTTGTTCACCAACGTTCCGTTGCGTGAGCGAGATATTAGATGTGTAATACTAAAACCACTTTCAGGTTGTCTAAGGAATTTTATGAAGCCATCAACACAAAATACAGGCTAAGAATGAGATACAAACTTCACACTGCAGATTGTATATTTAAGAATGAGAACACAGTTTTTTTCCTAAATTTAACTTAAAAACAAGAACAATTTATAATTTTATTACTATGGCGAAACGGCCCTTTTAAAATCGTCTAACATGACAATTCGCGTGGTTCGGCCAAACCTTTTTAGCCCAGTTAAACAAAGTGTTAAGGATAAGTTCTTTTGAATTATCATTCCAAGCCCGAGTTTTGCACGAGTTGAGACGTTCAACACTCACAGCAATGTTTCATCGAGGACCTGATCATGAAGCGATAAAGCGTGACCTCAAGTTCAAAATGTTGTCTTGCTCGCATTCTATATATGATATGTTCTTCTCGAAGCGAAAAAGCAAATTGACACCAAAACCGTCCCTTCGTCCGGATTTACATTCAACATACCGTTAAAAATGTGACGCGCGAACAATTTTTTCTGCAATGCAGGATAAATCTAAGAAAAAAGGTACAGCCACAATCGACGACAAAATTGTTGACTCGTTACCACTCAAAATGCAAAATTCTGTTGTGGCAAACCAATTTTATCCCCTCTACCCTTACTTTCACTCCTACTCCCACTCTCCCTTCCCCCACCCACCGCCCCCATGCACAATGCTTCTCTGTTTATTTTTATTCTTAAAAGATGAACGAAGGAACGGGGGTTCATTTTCAATTTTGTGTCGTATAATGTCCCGAAAAGTAGCGGCCGTGCATCTGTTAAGAAATAATAAGTCACAGATTACGTCAAAATGAGGTCAACTATTCGTCGCTCTCCACCGAAAAATCCAATCAAAATGCGTGTTAAATTTGGCTTATCTGACACTGGTAATTAATCGATAGAGGACTTTTCCAGAGTTTTCACAACGGATTTAGAAGATGCAAACCTGAGCTTGCAAAACTTTCAGAATTCTCCTAATCGTTCGAGTGCTCAGAAAAATACGGTGGCCCTTAGAGGACGTGCCACATTTTTCATCGCACGATAAACCAAAATATCGCGGGATAATTGGAAATTATCGCACGATAAATGATAATTACCGCGCGATAAATGATAAATTATCGCGTGATAAATGGGAAACCTGTTACGTCGCACGTGATCGGCTGTCACGCACATTGTTTCCTTGGACGAGACGACAATGGCTGCCGAAAGTTGTCTTAGTCTAGGAATTTACAACCTGAAATGTTATCAGAAATATTAGATAATCTACACTTGTTCTCAGACACTGACAGCCATCTCTGAAGGTGTCTCGTAAGATTTCGCCAAATCAAGGTTTACTCTACTGATTCACAAAGCTATGTGTCGTAGAAGTATTGCAAAGTGCTGCACAAAGATCTTTTCTATTCTCTTTTTTTCTTTAAAAATAACCATCAAAATCGCGGTGCGTATTATTCACCGATTCTATTGTTTGTCAAGCAGGTCCTAATTTGCATACGTTAAAAACACAACAACCTACCAATGAAACATTTTCAATTTCGATCCATGAATAAATTAAAATGACTATTTCAGACAACGAACGAACTATTAACCTCAAAACATACCTCCTCAACTGTGACAGCTATTGTCTTCCACGGAAACAACGTGCGTGGAATATATTTCTCAGTAAGCTCAGAAAGCCTGACGTCACACACGCGTTTACGGACACCTATTAATAGCCCAAGCCTGTATCTAACCATTACTTGCCCTAACACGTTTTCATAGCGTGACGATTGCAAGTGGACTTTACCCCTTGTTTATTTGCCGAGAATGAAACAATGGGCCACTACAAAAGTCTATGTAAACACAAAAAATTATTAAATTGCTTTCTTGAAATATATTTCTCAGTAAGCTCAGAAAGCCTGACGTCACAAACGCGTTTACGGACTCCTATTAATAACCCAAGTCTGTTACTAACCTTTTAACCAAGTTACCAAGGTAACTTTACCCCTTGTTTATTTGCCGAGAATGATAGCCAGTCCCAGAGTTCAATAGTAGATAAGATAAAGGCGGTGGCTTCCTTGACATCTAGCTGCGTGGTTGGAAGGCTGTTGATCTGTTTTCCTAAAAGGTGAGATTGGAGATACTTTTTTCGCATATTTCATCATTTGTGGGATTATAACCTCTTTATCATTCATTTCTTTCTTCTCTAATAGCCTGTAATGTAGAGAAAAGCTCTAGGCATTGAAGGAAGCCATCTGTCATCACTTCTGCTTTCGATTTCCTTCCTCGCCACGTCAAAATTCATGAAAGGAAGTTTCGTTTTGACTTGACCATTTTTTGCAGATCATACAGTATATAAAGCAGTTTGATGTCATCTGCGATAGATGCAAAGATCTGTACTTGCGAGAGGGAACGTGATTCTCAAGAAAAGCGACTGGCACAACTTAAGGATATTATTTCAAAGTTATCGATCATTGCGTCGCAAAGTTGTTTTAAATTTTTACCAGAGTTAAAATTGACCCATTCAA